GGCTCATGCCCAGCTTTTCATCCACCAGTACCCCCCAGTCCTTCTCGGCAGGGCTGCTCTCAATCCCTTCATCCCCCAACCTGTTTTAGATATATTTGATTTGATAGTGTTAGAGCAAATTTCAGGATTGCATTTTAGTGTGGCCATTCTGCCTGATTCTGCAGTGACCATGCTGTTCCTTGTAAATATATCTGCTACTCTGACCTTCCACCTGGAACAGGCATTTCCATCTCTCCCAGGTCTCTGGGCTTGCTGAGCCAGAAAAGGAGCAGATCCTCCTTGCAGATTCATCACCCTACCCTCACACGACCTCAGATGATTCAGTATAATTCCGTAACGTACACAGATGTTGCTTTCCTAAAATTCTGAGAGAATTACGGCCTATAAATAATATGGAGGTAGCTACCCAGAGTTCTAGGAATGCATTTAAGAGGAATCAGTATTTTTAAAGCTTCCGTATTCTTAGACACAGGCTATCATGTGTCCAGTCAATGTATTTTGAAATTACTTCTTGCTTTTCTTTTAGTTAACATTCTTGGAAAGGTTGTAAGGGCAGCATGTCGTTTCTTGTACCTGAGTTTCCTGTAGCTGAGTTTTTCTTAGACTTTCTTATCAGTAACTCTTCTAACCAATTAGTAAGATGCATGACCTGATACTGACAAGACTTTCCTGGGGGTTATCCAAGAGTGAGGTATATGGCAAATTAAATTGCCTAGTGGGGAGGAGAAGTTGCGATTCTATGATAAATTCTTACTCTTCAGAGATATGAAAAACCTTCCAGGGCAAAAGAGTGACTTTCCACTTCATCATTTAGATGATGTCACAAGCCTTTTGTGAAGCCGTAAGCTGAGTCCCATGTTCCTTCCTCATTCCTGCCTCATCTGTTACCTGGCTTGGTTTTTATTTCTTGAAAAAAAATTATTGCCATTTTATTTCAAATGTGACACATATAATGCAGTTGAACCTGCTAACGCAATTAGTCTAGTATCTGTCTTAAAGTGACAAAGAGACAAACAGAATGCGTAGTCTAGTTCACTTTTTTTTTCTTCTAATTAAATAAAAACATTGTCAGTCATGACACCTGAATTTTTCATAGGGATTGAATGTCTCTTTTATCTCTCTGATAACAGTATTTTGTTATGTCTATAAATATTTTAAGGACATGGTTTTCAGAAAATCCACAGAAAAAATCAAGTATTTAATTCTAACCCATTAATGTAAAAAAGCTGCAAACGCCAACCAAAACATAGTCTTAGGTTTCTCTTTGAATGCAGTAGTTATATAGTAAAGACCTGTTGCTCCTGAAATTGAAACTGTACTATCTTAAAAGAACTAGTGCCTTTGTACTGCTGCTGATCGTGTTTACCACCGCAAAAATACTTCTATTTGATAAGAAGTGCATCCCCTTTTTTGAGGTATTTTTAGCGAATATTCACTGCTTAGCAGTTTTTTAGTTCTGCTCTAGAAATCAAGATCTTCAAAACGCATTTTGATTATTTATTAATAACATTTCTTAAATCATGATGCGAATGCAGTAGTTTGGACCAATTCTGATTAAATCTTATAATACATATTAGTACAAGCTGTAATCTTACAGAGAGATTAAGCTATGTACATTTGAATTTTTTTTATCAGCTTAATCCTAATGGACTATACTTCATTTCACAAACCTGTCACATAGTGTACAGTGTTTCTGAATAATTTGTTTTGTCATTTCATCAGTTTTTTTTGGTCCATGATTAACTATATTTAAGCATGTCTTTATATTGGGTATTATCAAACTGTTCAGCATCTGTTTCTCAGTTTGTTGTTGCCGTTCCAAGGAAAAAAAACAACCAAACCAACCCTCCTTTTGTTACTGGAATAGAGTAAAAGACTTGATATTTTGATGTAAATTGTAAAACCCTGAAGCTACGCCGCCTTGGTGACGATACCCACAGATAATACAGCTGCCGACATAACTGCACACGGATGGCATGAGAAAGAGGGACCGACACTTTCCGTGTGCCGGTTACTTTGAAGTGCTGGTCGTAAGATAGTGCCTGCTCAAATTTGTCGAATACCTTTGGGGGTGAGAACTGAAGCCCTCATCTCCAGAGGGCTGTGGCAAAGGGTGTTTGCCTTGTGGCTCTGTACTTCTCTCCATGCTCGCAGTAAAGATCCCTCCAGCTCAGGCTGCCCTCCTTATCGCGGAGGCTTCTTTGTGGCAGCCCCTGATAGTAGCTGCAGCACCGATTAGCACATGGCTGTTTTATGTCAGTCTCCATCATGTTACCTGCCGCGGTCCCCCAGCACTGTCACCACAGAAAGTCTTTCCGTGACTGGAGATGAGCTCATAGCCCCGGTGGGGCTGCACCAGCCCCCCTCGCTAAGCCAACACCATCCCTGCTCTGGGAAAGCAGACTGGCAAAGCAAGTGTAGTAGTCAGTGCAGGTTTGTGGTGCTGCACTGTCACAGCCAAGGCAGGATGGCCCTTTCTCATCCTCCATGACTGCCTAGATCACACGAGGAGGCTTTGCTTCATCCTCAGATGGAGTCTCAGGGTGCCAAGGGAAGTATGGGTCAGCATGCTGGCCAGCTTGAAACTCACATGGCAGTCCAGAGGGGCAGAAGCACTCCAACGAGGGCATGAGGCCCCAGCTTATCTCTTGGCTGCCTCCCATGCATTTTGCTGCCCAAAATTACTGTCTGATTAGGTCTTTTGCAGCCATCTCCGGGCGCAGTCCTACCAGCAGGTTTACTGAGCCCTGCTTCATCTAGTGCAAGGAGAGGGCTCCTACTCCAGGCACAGCTTGCTCTCTTGTTTGATGCCTTTGAGTAGTTTGCATTTTCGGAAAGTGGGGCGGGGGTGCGGGGAAGGAAAAAGCAATCATCTTGGGGATCTGTACACAAACTGCGAAGTGCCTGCCTTGGAATGCATTGCTGTCCTGGCATAGCAGCTCATGATCAGGTGCTACGCACCCTATTTGGTACTGCATGGATGTGCCTATACAACTTCTAGGCCTGAATTGATCGTGCAAGACTATGTCAATTGTCTGCACATCATCGGTCCCTGGTTCTTCTTGCTCTGGGGTTAGTTTGTAAGGAACCAGTTTGAATTTGTCCATGCTTGCCATATAGCCATGCCTTAAAACTATCATCTGATGTATTTAAAAATGCAAGTATAAAAAAGTAAGGTCAACATTATTTCTCTGCCCTAAATCACAAAATGCTAGGTAGATTCCAAAAAACAAGAAAAAAAAAGTAGCTGCACGTCAGCTTTATTTCTATGATTCTTTTCAAGAGAAACCAGTAAGATGGATACAGTCTGTAAAAGAATTGAATAAGCAGAGATGTGTGAGATAACTGGCACATACATGCACACATATGCATATATGATGTGTGATCCTGATGCTGGTCGATGGCATCTATTTCCTGCTTGTATGATATACTGACATAGTCCCATGTTTATTGAAATATTCACAGTAAAAAAAAAAATCTGTCTTATCCCAATATATTAAAATCCTCTCTTGTTTACTAAAGGGATGAAAAGGGAAATCTCCCATGTGATGATGTTGGCAGACATATAGTGGGCAAGCCGGTTCATACAGGATCCGAATCTCCAAACTCATTTCTTGACCAGGAATATCGGAAACGCTTTAACGTGGTTGAAGAAGATGCAGTTTTATACTGCTATGAATATGAGAAAGGAAGAACAAGTGGTCCTGGAAGGAGAGAGAGCACACCAACATATGGTATGGCATTGATCTAATAAGGATAATCACCATTTGTTGATTTTAGGATTTTTGTGCATCTGCTTTTGTTTTTAAGCATGAAAATATTTTCAGTGGCTATGATTTTGCTAAGAATTCTGTACTACTTTAGTCCAATTTCAACATAAGAGCTTATTCTGTGCAAGAAAAAATGAATTACTTACTATGATAGGGAAGGCAAGTCCAGTTTTATATTGATTATTTTTCTGAATATAAGTTCTATAATTTTGTTATCAGCTTAATTTTCCAGATTATGCTTCAGTATCATTTTATCAAAAAAACCCTGGCAGAAGCCCCTATATTTTTACTAAAAATACAGGACGGAGTTGTTCTCCCAGTATAAGGGCAAGACTTGCATAAGTTTAGGAATTCAGCATTAGAAAAATGTACCTAGGTATAATAGTTTTAAAGATCAAAACCACTTCAGATTTACCAAGAGATGACATGCTGCTTTCATGCTGCGCTGCTCTCTAAAACTCTTTAATTTTTCTTTAGTCCCAGAAATGAAGTATGACTGATGATAGTATGCTTTTTTTTGTAATACTGTGTTAACGTCCTGTAACTTCCTATATGGGAAGTGATGACTTTCTATATATAGCAGTTCCTCTTTATTTGAGGTTATATGTTGTCTAAGAAAGGATTTTGCATGTAAACACACACGTGTGTTCATGTTACTTCCACATCTTGGATTTTGACTTACTGTTTCTGCGTTCTCACCCTACATTTCTGGTGAGAATTTTGCTCCTCAAACCTTTATGCTCCAGGTTATTTTCCCTTGAATCTGTTGGAACACTTCCTTTAGCTAGTATTGTAACTCGTTTCAGCTTTGGACTGGGAGAATTGGTTTTCTGTTGCCAGGTATAAAATTGTGCAGTCATAGAGTTGTTAGGATATAGAAGAAAATGAAGAGGAAATCTCATGTTTAAGAAAGATATTTTGAATACTATGATATTAGCTGAACACACACTTGAATATTTTTTCACCCTGCTTGCTATGTTATTTCAATTTTTAAACTGAGCACAAGTTCTATGTTGGAGTTGTTACAGTAATCCTGACATCATATCCCTTTGAGAAGAAGATAGACTTAATTTATGAGGAAGTGTAGATTTAGTACATCATGCAGCCAAGCTCCAAAATCACCTGGGAACCTTGATATAAATTGAGCTTGAGCTGTATGAAGTATCCTCAGGACCTGGAACGTTGTGCTTGCACAACATTGAAGGATGCATTTTCATAAAATGCACCCTTTCTACACAACTACACAATCCTGCTGCAAAATCCCCAGTATCCTTTTGATTTCAAAGTGTTTTCAGGTGTTTTCTAACCATGCCCATAGTGTACAAAATAACTGCTAAGTTTTCAAAGCGGATATATCAATTTTATTATTGCAGTATTTCAACTATTACAATTGGTGGATGCAGTCAGTTCCATTAACAGAGACGTACTCTCTCCTCCAGATGTTAAATCTTAATACTGGTGGTCTAGAGTGAAGAATAACACATTTCTTCTTCAAGGACTGCTGAATCCGTTATTTTGTTACAGGATAGCTTTTTTAGCCTTTTTTTCTGTTAGCAGAAAGGGTTATAAATACATGGATCAAAGACTGCACTGAAAATCAGTCATTATTTAACACATTTGTTATACAGCCTTTCACTTTTGATCTCACTTCTTTTTTAATGAATTCACACCATCAAGTCCATTTTCATTTAAGTGTATTTTCTAAAAATATTACCATTTCAGCATTATATTCTAAAGTTTCCCACATGGCATTTGTTAGCATAAGATTTGTGGCTAGGCATGACCTTAGGATTTCACAGAAATCTGGAAAATGACAATAACGCTCTTCTGGCTTATGGTGAACCATTAAAGAAGGTCAAACAGAGTTCCAAGGCCTAGAGAAATAATTGTTTTCAGCATCATTAATTATGTGGTGGTGTTAATTTTTTAAAAATATTTCTCAGGCCTCCTTTGTGAGAGGTTAATAGGGCCCTCTATAATTTCTTTATTGGAATCTTTTGACATTTTTTGACAATGTTAACAAAGAGATTTCTCTTTCATGCTCTTACTGGCTTCCAGCTGTTGTATAATTGTTGCTAATTGGCCTCGGAAAGCTTCTGTTCACATCCCAAGGAAGAAATTTTCCTGAGTGTAGTCACCAGGGAAAAGAGAGTTAGGGAATCTGTGGGGGTTAACAAGAAGGAGATTAGCAGAGGTAGCAGGCAAAGGAAACTTGAGTTTAAGGAAAGAAACAAATTTGGTCACTGCAGTTTTACTGCCAGATACAAAAAACATGCACTTTGAACAGCTAGAGATTTTGTAGAAAATTTGTTATGGCTATAGCTTTTGATAGCAATCAGACTTCACATGATTTTGTAGCTTTTGGATCTCTTTAAGTGTGCAGGTCCTTTCAGTAAGATACTGTGAGTTCAGCCTTACAAAGAAGAGAAAGTTGTATTTCTAGACAAAGTAACAGTTGAAAGTTACTTGTGATCAAGTAAACGTGAGCCAAATACATCCCCACTCAGGAAATGATTTCTTATCTGCGTGCTCCAAATCTCACCGGCTTCAATCAGACTTAAATATGTGTCCATAAATAGTAAAACAAATGATAAATAAAAAGTTAAATATATATGTTGCATTTCCTGAGCAATGATGTATTTGTGACCTGATCCTGGGGTCTGTGCAGAACATACACCTTTTTTTGTCATTTTTTTAAAAAGACAATACAACCTTTTACCATTATGCTGCCTGCATGGTATTGGTGTATTTCCCATGGATACCATACTTCAATAGGTAGATAGACATGTTTGAATATTTGTTTTCATTATAAACACATCTTTCTTTTTCAGTGTATCATGGATTTAACCTCAAAAATGCGGAATAAGACCGATCACTTTTATGTAGGGGTTTTCTGCTAAAATAATTAACAAGACTTCTGAAGTTTTTACTTTAAGCTCTGCTACTTTTAAAAACAAATTATTTTCCCACTTTTTGGTTTTGTGACCAGTAGATCAATTCAAAAAAGAGCGAGGGCTGACCTTGTTGTGGAAACATTTTGTTTTCAGTCTGCCAGGTATTGTGCCATATGCTATGCTACTCTATGTTTTATTTCAATGTACTATTTAACTTGCTGAAAACTTCAGACCACTTTAAGTAACCCCACTAAGTTGCATAGCACACTTCCACTGAATTTCCAACTATATTAGTGGAATCCTTCAGCAGAAATCATAGTTCACAGCAGCAGAAATCATAGTTCACAGCATTTTTAAAATCAATTCAGCAGCTTCCAAATCCAAATTTAAAAGATACAATAGTCTTCAGCTTTTCTGTCTCTTGCTGTCTGAAATCAAACTGAATTTACCAATAGTAATGTGCTTTGCTTTCTGTGGATGAAATGCTACAAAAGAAATTACACGTAGAGATTCTCAGCTTCCTTTCTTACTCAGTCACTGATGGATCTTTTAAGCCCACCAGCAAAGATGCTATTTGTGAAGGTACTTTAATGATGTGGACACATTTCTGTTACCAACAATTCACATACGCTTTAAAACAGTTCTCTCCATGTGTGTGCCAGGGGCTTCCAGAATAGTAAATAGATATTGTTCAGTGAAAACTAAAGTAATTTGAATGCGTTTGTCAGTCTCAAATGTCAGTCCACTGACGATTTTGTAGGGCACTGGATTTATTTTCTAAACTTTAGAAAATCCATTAAATACTTAGCTGCTTCTTGTCTGTTAAAGAAAACAGAACTCCTATCTTAACCTCTTGTTCAGAGGCGATGCTGGATCCTCTTTCATAAGCAACCCTGTAGAATAGCAGCTTAGCACATAATTTGTTCTTTCTTCTAAAGAATGTTAGTTTAATGCTGCCTTATGGTGCATGATCTCAATTTTTTCCTCTGTTTCCAGGGAAACTAAGGCCTATTTCTATGCCAGTAGAATATAACTGGGTGGGGGATTATGAAGACCCCAATAAAATAAAAAGAGATAGTAGGAGAGGTAAGTGATCTGAACACACATCTTGTACAAGGCATTATGGGTTTTATCATGCTTTAAGCTATATATTTCAACCTCATTTTGCTCCTTGCTTAGCTATATATTTTCGTGAACCTGTTTTGGGTTCTTTCATTATGCATACTTAATTTTTTGCAGCGCCTCTATTAGGATTGAGGAAGTTGCTCAGCCAGGCAAAAGAAAATCATGACTGCAAAGCCCTGCAGTTTGTCTTAACTTTATATTGGCATTTCATTGATTCAGCTGTATTATCCAGTCCATTTTGAAACTGGCCTTAATTTTATAATACTAGAGGACAAATGTGTGGTTATTACTGATAAATACTGTTATGCTTAAATGAGAATTATATATCACATTTCTTTGTCTTCATGAGTTTTTTTTGGATGGAAAACATTCTAGATCAGCATGGGATTCACCTCAAAATCGTCGAGGATAAGTTCTTCAAAATTCTGGTTTGTGAGGCTCAGATACGTAACTTCACATACAAAATGATAACCTCTGAGATGGCTATTATTGCCCAGGAAAAAGATGTTAGTAATGATAAATATTTCCATGAAAATATTAACTAAATGTTCAGTAGTGATCAAAAAAGGAAACATTGTTAGGAATTATTAGGAAAAGAATACAAGACAAATTAAGAAGCATTCTTATGCTGCTGTCTAAGTTCTTGCTCATGCTGGGTGTGTGTGCAGTTCTGGTCTCTTCACCTCTTAAGAAAAATACAGTAGAATTGAAGAGAAGGTTTAGGAGACAACAAAAATGATCAGATGTGTGGAGTGGCTTCCAAACCAGGGTCAATTCGGTAGGCTGGCCATCATCAGTTTGGGAGAATTTAGGCAGGACATAAGAAAGGTTTATAAAATCTTGTGTGGACTGAAGTAAGGAAATAGGTTTGCCACTGTTTTTTCCGAAACAAGACCCGAGAGACATCAAATGTCTCCGTCGAGTGCTGGTTAAAAAGAAAAAGAGCTGGCTCCTCATGCAGTTTAGGTTCAAGCTAAGGAACGTGTTGCCACAGGAGGTTGTGGGTACTAAAAGTTCACATTAACCCAAGGAAAGACCGGACAAGTTCATGAAAGACAAATCTGCTGAGGTTTCCTAAATTCACAAAAGTTGCTTCTGTCTCAGGGTGTCCCTCAGCTACAAGCTGGTAGATGCTGGAAGAGTATTTGGGGAAATTATGGATGATACGGTGAACGATCTCAAATGAAAGTTCAAAGCAAATTACTTTTAAATGTATGGCACCACAGTCATTTGTATTCATTAGGATCTTGTTTAAAAAAAAGATTACAGATATGATCGTAAGTGTATCACTGCTCATTTTTTGAAAACTCCAAGACAAAATTTATTGATGTGGGACTTCTTTTATGTTCTGTTCCTTTTACTGTCAAAGATACCAGAAAACTGCAAGAATCGTGAATTTTCCCTACCAAAAGATTGCTTTCTTCTTATATCCAGACCAACAGAGCAAATGGGTTTTGTTAATGAAATAGTCTTGAAGAGTTAAAATTGACAGTAGATCTTAGCAAAAATATTATATATTTTGGATGCAGGATTAACATACATACAACAATTCACAATGATGTTTTGCACTGCTTTTCTTTCAACAGAAAATTCATTGCTTCGCTATATGAGCAATGAGAAAATAGGTCAAGAAGACTACATGTTTCAAAGGAATAGCAAAAAGGATACTGGGAAAAAGTCCAAAAAGAAGGGAGACAAGAGTAGTAGTCCAAGTCATTACTCGCTGTTGCCTAGTTTACAAATGGACTCATTGAGACAAGAAGTCATGGGCACGCCTGGACCAGAAACTGCTTTGTACCACGTGAGTAAAAATAATATTAACAAAAGTTGTTGCTCTGTGCTTATGATGAGAGACTTGTCTTGTTCTTAAAGTGGTGTTGAAACCTTTTTTGGACTGCTGCTGTTGCACTGATTCCTATTCTTTGGACAATAACTAGATCACAAAGAAATATTTTAGAATTCTTTATTTTGCTGTTACAAATGTGGGATGGACACCAGTTTTATCTCCTTTAACTAGAAGATGTCACGTTTGAAATGGAGTGTGGCATCTCTGCCGTGACTTATTTGCTACTGATGGAAAGGGAAGAAGCAGCAGTTTCCAGACTGACTAGAAACCTTCTTTCCAGCATCTATGTCACTGCAATATGCTAAGTCATATCGGACAACCCCTTTACTACAGGTACTTCAAAGGCCTGATAATGGCAGGAAAACTTGTGGGAGGCATTTGTTTTTCCTTTGAGGTAAGGGGAGCCCTAGTGCCTGTAACTGTTTTTAACATATAGCCCTCAATAGCTCAAGTAAATATGAAGGAAGGGATTCTGCTGAATAGGGTGTAGAAGGAAAATTGCAGTAACTTGCTAGTTTTTAAATGTGTCAAGAAAATGGAGTTAGAAGATCACAACATATTTTAGATATGGTATCGCATTCACCCCATAAAAGTATTTACATTTTAGATCTCAGTAAAAGATGTCATTGTAGAGGAATATACACACAGTAACTGTACAGCAAAACAATAGAAATAATTGAAATTATCTTCATATACTAACAAGGAGTATGTAATTTAGATTACCAGTGTCTAAGGGAGATGGTAGCGTGGGCTTGTCAGGAAGTCTGCTATGAAAAACTGGCAGGTAGAACTTCACTGAACCTTTAAGAGACAAGTAACTTGGTTTCCTGTTGTAAAACATCACTACGGAGTATCACATTACAATTGGTGTAGATTAATTGAAACTAATGGAGCCTTTGCATCCTTTTACACCATCTGAGTGCTTGGTCCGCTGGCTTCTAAAACTCCTTAGTGTGCTGCAGTGTATAGGTGAGTGATAAATTTCAGAGAAGATGTCATTTAGTATTAAAAGTAAGTGCTTGTGGTGCACTTCAATTAAATCAGGTCCCCAGATTCAAGAACTGCTGTTCCCTTTCTTTTTCATTTGTAGTAATTTAGGTATGATGATAAACATTTTTTCTTACATTATTGCTTCCAACTTTAGTTTTACGCTCTTTTTGTAAGTTGGAAATCTGATAGTGGGGAGATTTCCATTTGCAAAGGCAGACTGATATATAGTGTTCCACTAATACATGAAGCCAGGGAGGTTGCAGGTGTCCCCAAACTGTCATCTTTGTAATGTCTGCAGTCTTTCCTAGAAGGAATCTAATCAGTGCAAGAGCCCTTGAAAGCAAATATTTACAAAACAAAATAGAAAAGTTATTTGTGTAATGGAGGACTTTCCACTCTGTAAAGAACAGTGTGGTAAATTTGCAACACTTTCCATGTATTGAGAGAATACTCATCTCTCAATAACATTTCTTTGTTAGTATACATCAAATTCCTGACACTGTGCAGTGAGAAAAACTTTTTTTTTTAAGGTGCCATCTTTGTTTTTCCTTGGTTTCCTCTATTATCCCTTATGCCTAGTTTCCAAATTGTGTACAAAAAGAAATGATGTACACGGGAAGTGGAAGATTCTTCAGAATTCTGGTGTGGAAGTTAATGAGCAACAGCAAACTTAGAATTGACAACCGGCATTTTTCATGTAGTTTGGATACCCGTCCAAAAAACACCTGAACTGTTAACACCACAAATTCCACCAGTGTCTGCTGATTCTATTTGTGCATCATTACCATTAAAGGATGCCTCTCTCTGTAATGCCATTAAATCTTCAGCATCTTTTTTGGAAGTTTAGTGGGAGCTTATTTATTTATAAAAATAAATAAAGGTTATTTGTTCTTCAGAATACAAATCAGTATTGATCTGCTAACTGGCTTTGAAGCAAAATGCATGAAATAAACAGAAAGACGAAGCCTGAGCCATTGATTTGTCCCTGGGGAAATGGGAAGGAGCCCTTCACAAAGCCTTTACAGCCCTCCGCAGCTGATTATTGCTGGTCCTATCCCTGGAAGCCACCTGGCTGCCACTGTGCAGTACGATACAGTTCCCTTTTTGTGGTGACGCCACCCAAGCATACCGGCTTATGAAACACTAATCTAGTTTGCAGATAGGGCTATATGTCTTTGCCACATAGCAGAGCCAGAGGTTTTGTAATAAATTGGACAGAACTTTTCTTAAAATCTTAAATAAACAGCAGTGTGAGCAGATAAAGAACAGGGGAATACAGATAAAACACAAGGAACTCATGTTAATAAAACTGCAGTACGGTTTTATTAAACTATAGATAACAAATAGGACAATGGAAACACTTTATGCTCAAATTGCAAATTGCATCTTAAAGTGCACTAAAAAGTGGCTGTCCTATTAGAAACTATTTTTTACAAGCATCAGCTAGGCAGTTTTCACAAAGACTTCGGATTATCTGTAAATGGGAGCCTCTGGATGAGCATGAGTTCAGCGCAGAGGAACGGCGGGGGGGGGAAAAACTGCACTAATAGTAGTGAAAGCGACTGGGGTTTTTGATTTGGGTTTTTGTTTGGTTTTGTTTTGGTTTTTTTTTAAGAAGTCGATTTTTTCATCATACTAGAATACCAGATGAAGAGAGAATACTGTGACTCTCTGCACTGCATACCACAAGCCGGTGGATTTTCCTGAAGTAAAGTGCAGCTCCTACCAGGTGGCTGTAGTTGAACTTGTACCTATAGTGCCTCAATTGATTGTATTAGGTCCCGGTACTCCACCGGATACTCCACCAGGCTTGTTAAGTAGTTCCAATCCCTGGTTGCTCTTGTTGTTAAAAGTTTTCACCTGTTAGCCTGTGTTTACCTGGTTTCTATGTCCAGCCTTACTTCTAAATGTACCTTTATCCTCTAGGTTTAAAGGTATTTTGTTACCAAATCTTATCTCCCAATACAGGAATTTACAGGTTATAATCAAATCACTTTGTAGCCTTCTCTTGCTTAAAAGAAATAGAATGAGCATCCTGGGTTTGTCATCAGAGTGTGTTTTCATATCCTTTCATCATTCTCATAATTCTTTCAACTCCTTGTATTTAATCCTAAAGTATCCTGAGTATCCTAAGCATCCTTCCTAAAAGTATGTATGCCAGAACAGGACGTAAATTTCCAGGAGCTGGATAGAAAGGTAATACAACCTTTCTATTCCTGTTCACTACCTCTCTATTTAACTATTTAAAGGACCGTTTACGCATTTTAACCATAGACTTGGAGTGGGAGTATGTTTATTACTTGGTTTTGGTTTTATTTTTTCTGTAATGTCACTTTTCCAAATCACTGATTTGCAAGACTGGTATTCCCAGTCTAATAATTTGTATGTTGCATTCTTTGTTCTTAAGTATGTAACACTGTGTATGGTTGGCCATGTTGAAACATACGACTTCTTGGGTATGCTTGATGAATAATGTATGTCTCTGAAGCAACCTTAAGTATGAAATACCAGAAAGTAAGGGCTCTGGGCCCTCAGATTGGGCCCCCGTGATTCCCAAGTCCATAACATGGAGTTTTGAAGCTCCAGGAATCCAGGGTCTGCTGTGGAATGGAAGTACCGAAACCCTTGTTTTGAAATTATCTTTTTAATATGCATATTCTGTGAAATAAAAAAATCCCCGCACATTTAATGTCTTTATTTTTTTGTCTATTTTCTCTTCCCTTTTTTCTGAATTCCCTGGAATAGAAACCATGCTGCTCACTCAGCATTCAGGTCTCGTGTCATTCACAGGTCTTTGATTCTGTGTTACCTTTATTCAATGATGTTTTCATTCTCTTTTGAGTCCATTGATATAAATGTTAAATAATTTTGGACTGAGAATGCATCCCACTAGTTAATGATGAATACCCCTTACAATTCCAGGCCTCTTTCCTTTTGAATTTTGCAGCCATTGACATGTGCAGGTTGATTACCTTTTTACTGTGAAGGTTTTCTGCAGAAAAGCAGCTTTTACAATTATGCTGATTTCAACTCCTTGCTTCTACTGCTTTTATACATGGCTCTATAGAAAAGAAAAATCTCTGATCAAAAAACTACACTGATGAATTAAATTACCAGAACAGAAATGGTATGTTTTTGTCCTGTAAACAAAGTGGATGGCGTTAAAAAATTACTATGGTAATTCAGAAGTGCGTGGTTGTTGCTTATTTGCTAAAAGTTATTTTGAAAAATGCCAACAGATTCAAATTGTTATATTCTGAAGAGATCACAAGAATGTGGCAGTCTAGCATTTTCCTGACTGTCAGTATACTAAATTTGCATAAAATCACTGGTTTTAACAATTTTGTTTATATCGTTGACCTGCCATTACAATCAAAAACTGTGTGGTCAAGGGAGTATTTCAGTTATGGCCTTGAAAAGTGAACAACGTTTACTTGTGTCCACTGAACATAACTGATGTGATAGCTGATATAGTAGCAAAAGAAAAACTAATTTGTGTTATGTCTGTGAAGTAATCATCTCTTGTATCCACTTATGGTATTTTTTTAATCCTCACATACAAAGTCTCTTCACCACTTTGCTTTGTTTTGTTTCCCATTTCAGAAAGCGTTTCCAATGTAGGTTGATTTCTAGCCAAGTTGTTGTTTTTGCATTCTATTTTTCTTCCTCGGTATTGCAAAAGAAATACCAACACAGAGTGTTAATGTTTTTATTAAGCCAAGGCAAACTGTTTGAGCTGTTGCTAATCTAGTGTGCAAGCAGGTGTTCAATGTGATCTATTACTGTAGGTATAAAATGGTGCAGTTAAAATTGTCTTGGACCTTTGGGGCACAAGAGATGAAAGCTCTGACACACGATTATAGTTTTTTAAGTTCATTATATTATTCTGTATAGGAATTTCCTTGGTACGTTGTGCTTTGTTTTCTTTGCAGGAAAATAATGTGGTTATTTAGGAGGGAGATAGT